GGTGGTGTTAAGTTTATGTAGGAGAGGTGGTGTTGAGTTTATGTAGTAGAGGTGGTGTTGAGTTCATGATGTAGAGGTGGTGTTGAGTTCATGTTGTAGAGGTAGTGTTGAGTTCATGTTGTAGAGGTGGTGTTGAGTTTATGAGTTTATGTTGTAGAGGTGGTGTTGAGTTTATGTAGTAGAGGTTGTGTTGAGTTTATGCAGTAGAGGTGGTGTTGAGTTTATGTTGTAGAGGTAATGTTGAGTTCATGTTGTAGAGGTGGTGTTGAGTTTAAGAGTTTATGTTGTAGCCCACCCAACCCACATAGTTGTGATAAAGTTTGGCACCCCCCCTCCTCTTTCGCTGTGATTTTATCATGACGCAACCACTAACCTCAACGCACCGACTCCCCCCTCCCCCCTATGATAAATTACCAGTCCATAAACCATAAGCAATATACATCCTAATACATACCAATACATCTACAAGTTTTTATGCATAAAGCCACGAGAACATAGATGACCCAGTCATCTAAGGTGTTGCAATCCACCTGATCCAGAGGTGAGGTTCTGGGGGTAGCGACCCCAATATAAAATAAAACGTCCCAAAGTCAAAAACAAAACAAATGGCCCAAGTGGAACCTATCGCCCCACCTTTTTCTTCAAATCGTTGATGGGGCCCTGCACTGTTTAGACTGACCTTACTTCAGTCATGTGAGAATCCAATGACCCTGGATTGGGAGTCCCAGGTTTACCTAGCTTCTGTGGTCACGACCGTTTGTGGGCACCATACTCGTACACGGTACGCATCTAGCCCCAAGAACTGTTTTCCTCCTATACACAACTCCCATACGCATTAAACTTAACTCACTAACTAGAATGCATAAACTGTTCTGTGATGCATTTACAAATCGTATATGTTATACAACGTTATTTTACGTCCGATTCAATCATTCAAATTTTGGAAAAAAATGTTGCTAGCCGAAATTAAATAATCTATTCCTTGTTCAATGGGTTCGTGATAACATTATTAATACAAAGGATCTCTAGTAACTGTGTGTTCGTAACTTTAGTATCTTGCAGTGTGTTTGTGTTACCTCTGTTGTTTTGTCGTCTGCTGCACTGCACACCTGTCTCGGGTGTCGGAATCGCTATTTGGCTTGTCCCTGAATAACACGAGTTGGTCACGAATGGGGTGTCGGATATATTTTGGGTCACGTGATTTGTTTTCATTTCCGAGACAGCGCCTCGGAGGTAAACATATCAATAGAATTTTTGAGGATTTTGCCGTTGACTTAATGCATTTTAATTCAATATGAAAGCGAACGCGCATAAAACTATTTAATTTAATGACTGGGTGTACTTTTAGTTTTTGCATGGTGTCGACAAGCACGACGTTTCGGAAAGTAGTATGTATTTTTGTGATTGTCAAGTTTTCGTTCATAGTCATTATGTAATGGTGTTGAAAATATATCAGAGAACAGATATGTTAACCGCTTACTGAAGAGCATTCAGTTTTAAACACTGTCGCCATAGTCGTCTAATCTGTCTAAACATATTTATAATGTCGCATTGTCGCCCTTAACCGTTAACTGTGCATGTGTTGTCAGTGGAATAAATTACGCATGCGCAGAGCTGCTTATCCACTTCCTCATACTCCAGTTCTTCTGCTTTGATCTTTTCTTTTGAAATTATTTCATATGTCGTTTTCATAAACCATGTCGTTTTGACAGCAAGGAACAAACTCTTTGCATTTCGATTTCATTTAATTCCAATCTCTACCATTGTTTTTTTATCAAATGAGGGCACGGTTGATCCAAACGTCCCAGGCGGCAATCCGCTGTGCAGAGTTCCGTTCCCCAGGCGTGCCAGAAAAATGTGATAATAGATTCGTATCCCAGCGCCATATACTTGCATCTCTTCGGGATTTCTTCCAACATCAAGCTTAGAGGCCATGGAATAACTGAAATATAGTTCAAAGCGACGTTAAACCAAACTCGCTCAAATTGATGAATTCGCTGTGCAGAAGCGTGCACCCAACTCTTCTGGGTTTCACAAAAGTGCTAAGGCATGCATCACTTTCAGTAGTCTGTCTCCCAGACCCTAGAGAATTTCTTTTTGAAAAAAGGTCCAACTCATGTCTAGAATGATTTGGCAAGTCTAGATTGCCTCAGCTCTGAAATTAAGGATTGTTCTGGGATCCATTTGGATTTTATTACTTTTATTTTGTAGATATATTTTTCTAAATAAGATAACTTTATTTCTCTGACTTAATGTAAGACGTCCAGCGTTCCTCCCACATGCAGGTGACACGCCTGATATCACCCAAATACTGTTCAAAGCTACGTTCAGCAATACTTACTCATGATATCCCTTTCGACGAAACGACGGTGGGAGAAGCGTTAAAAATTAAGAACATATTTTAGCTTATGGTTTTGCAAAGTCTATTTACGTCATATGTCAAACTTTAGATAACAGATGGCCCTTTAACCCACAGACTAAGCGCATTCTTTACGTACGTATGTATCAGTTCCACCCATCGTCTCAAAGCAAAGAGTGAGTGAGTATGGTTTTACGCCGCTTTTAGCAATATTCCAGCAATATCAGGGCGGGGGACACCAGAAATGGGCTACACACATTGTACCCATGTCGGGAATCGAACCCGGCTCTTCGGCGTGACGAGCGAACGCTTTAACCACTAGGCTACCCCCCAAAGCAAAGTGTAAATCATTCAGGGTTCACCCCAAATATGTGTTGTCATATAGCCTACATGAGCGTACACATAATTTAGCTCTTCTTTTGTAGGTGTATTAGACTATTTGTGTGTGTTATAAAAGATATACATGAGTTTAGCCACTGATCCCGGTTCCCTTTCATGACTCTTTATCCCAATATCCAAACTGGCAAGGTGTATGTACTTACTTTGAAAGTTGTAACCTTGATCAACAACTCTTTCAGCATTAGTCGTATGGCGCTCGTTGAAATCTTCGTAGTACGAGCATGCGCAATGGTGCCTCAAACGTTGCTCGACATAAAGGGAAGGTTGACTATTGGAAAGTTGACGTCACCCCTCTTGTTATTTACTCTTGCGGAGAGACTTTTAGGCATACAATAAAACTGAAGGGCCGTTGCAGTACAGAAGGTATTCCGAGGAAATTTGTTTTACAGTCAATTTGTGTCCCACGCCCGGCGATGATACCAGTATTATCTGTGTCTACATGTCGAAGTACTTTCACTCTTTAAATGTCCCCTCTTTGTCATGCAGCATGTGTACAGCTTTACAAACGATACTAACATTCAAGAATCATTATATGATGGATTAAACGTGAAATCTTGACTTGAATTGTGGCATGTTCTTTCCTTTAGTAGGATATTATAGGGTTATATTTGAATGTGTGAACTACGTAAAAACCATACTGTCGTGACAAGTTGAAGTTGTAGCAGTAGTTGTCGTAGACACAGACACAGCATACTGACTCCGAGTGGCCCAGTCCTTGTTTTAGTCCCTTAGACCAGCACTACCACTAGACTACGATTGCGGTCTTCTTGACATTAACTAGTTGCAATTTGTAGTACTGGCAGTAGTAGTTGTTGTTATGGTTGTCATGGTTGTCATGGTTGTTGATTCTTAGGTTGTTGTGTGGTAGATGTTGTCGGTGTAGTCGCTGTAGTAGTAGGTTGTAATTGATGTAGTAGTATCAGTTGTCATTTGGGCGCATTATGAATCCTTACAGAAACAATATAATACAGTTACAATGTTGTTTAACAATACATTACACTCCATATAACAGTATGCACACTATATATACAAAAGATAGGAAATTACTTTATACAAGATTGTAAACAACCTTTTCCGCATGGAGAATATTGTGAGGGGCAATACTATATATTATAGTAGAAGCAGCAATCACAGGAAGAATGCACTGGCTGGAAACGTCATAGTATACTGATGGAAATAAATAAGGGAACACTTAGTAACATGATGTTCCCAGGCTTGTCCACCAAACACATGTTCGAAACAATGCACACAAACACATTTCAACATTGCATGCATGCTATTTCAAATATGCTGACAGTAAAGTTTATTTCCCTATATTTTTCAACAGTATACTTTTGTGTTTTAATCTGTCTCTTCAAAGAGTCCAAGGTTGGTGCCAGTTCGAAGTTCAAAGTGCTCTGCCAAAGCTGTAAGAACCCTGGCCAAAAGATTTTAGTTTCCCCCTTGGGATAATTAGTAGATGTTTTGTCACCAGATTGTAAAGCTTTTGGGTTCCGTGGGGTAACCTGGTCATGTACCCAGGTTGTGTCTTATCTTTACAGGTTATTGCAGAAAATCCAGTTTAAATGTAGATTAATGTAAAGGAGAAAAACACTGAGGATTCAGACATGCTTCAGGTTTCATCTGTATCTTTATTCCACAATAACAATCATGTACACGTTCTTACGCCTTGAAATAACATAAGCATCTACATTGCTTCCCCGAGTCATTCGTTGATTTGCAATACGTACATTAGAGAGCGGTCCGCTGCATGTCATGCTCTGGGTGTTGGAGTCCAAAGGGCCAACAAAGAAACCCCTGGCAACGGTTCATGATGATCCGTGTTCGTAGACGCTGTCATATGAAATCATTACATTTTATACATTACATTCTCTCTCTCTCTCTCTCTCTCTCTCTCTCTCTCTCTCTCTCTCTCTCTCTCTCTCTCTCTCACTCACTCACTCTGTAAATACGTTCCAAAACAGGTGTTTTCGGACCCTATGACCACTCTAGCTGGCTGATGACCACTCTAGCTGGCTGATGACCCTTTTGTTATGAAATCAATTTTTCCGCTAATTTGCCATATAAATGCACGACAATGACATTTCTTGTAGATGTGTGACGTATTATAAGCCTGTTTGCCGACAGTGGTCTATAGCAATCCCTACCCGAATGACCCACTATGATTGTATGTACCAAACTCTCGTGACTATTCTTACTCATTCATTGCATTGTACAGTAGCTTCCCCTGAACAACCACATGACCACTATGCCATGCGCAAGTAAGCCCATGGGAACTGAAGCCACGCCCCTAAGCGTATACCCAAAGTAGGCTACTTGACAAGTTCAGTCTCACTTTTGACGTTTGACGTGAACGTCTACTAGCTGTACTCAAGATGAATCAGGTTGGTGGAAGTGACTGACGCATTATACAACATTATAATCCTATTCTATCTATGAATGTCACACTTGTATTTTGATTCTGAATTGATCTTTTATGTCTAAAATCCTGCCTATAAGTAATATTAACCTGGTAAGTTACCCTTGGTTGAAACCAAGTTATCACTTCTATACCAATGTCTTTGACAATTCACGATATGTGACATTATTCATACAATGAGACACAAGATATGATCACTGGCTGTCTGAAACACTTGTTTCCGTGTTAGAAGAGACGGTGATTCGGTATCATATCTGACATGTTCTATAGTCAGAGTCGGGATAGGTTTGTTATGAATATGAAAGGCAAGATAAGAAATTAGACGTTAATATTTGTTGATGGGAATTCTAACCTTATACACTGTAAACTGCTTTATCAATCTAGATGTGAAACGGCATCACTAATGATTTAAAACACGATTTGTGTAACTATCGATTGGAATGATGGGGTGGTTACAATGTGTGACTTGGCTGATGGCGTCTCACAGTATCAACTCATGTTTTCAACCACTGGGTTGTCTTCTCTTGGCTGCGTCAAGGGCGGAACCAGCATCTTTAGAAGGGAGGGGTCCAAAATATCGAAATTCATCTCTCTAGATAGTTTTACTGCCTACAACATACATCATTGGGTTTTCAAAAAGGGGACCCTTTCATATCCAATGATTTTCTGCTTGACCTATGACAACTTGTTGGTTTATATGAAACGATAAGTCTACGTCATCATTCCTTCTTAATTTGCAACAAACAAAAAATCTTTTCTCAATTCTTTTTTGATAGTAACTTAAATAATTTGTGACTTTGTAACACTTAAACCTTATAATGGAAACACACATTCATGTTGAGTGTCAGTAGATGTGGTTAAACAGATTCTAAAAAATCTTGGCTAAATGCTTTTAATGATGCCTTAAATCTTCTTATAGGCATCATCCTGTATGTAAAGGTTCACCTTTCTAAGACGTGGGTCCTTGAGAATTAAATCTTTGAACGTTTTGTGAAATTTAATTTTAAAAATATTTTAGAGACAAACCAGCAATACAATTCTTATGATTTAAAAAAATATGATCATAAGGAGAAACAAACCTGCCACACTTCAGCTTTCTCAGTCCGTCAGTTCAGGACGAGGTGGTGTATACTCGGTATTTAAGAGCACGGTTAAACGCATACATCAAATCAAGGTGAAACTGTAACATATTGGGAAAAACGAAACTCCAACCAAATGTCATTACGTTGTGAACACACATGGCTGAGTAGTGGCGGAACTGAACATGACTGCACTGAACCCACACAGTTTCCCCTCCGAATCATATCCACACAGTTTCCCCTCCGAATCATATCCACACAGTTTCCCCTCCGAATCATATCCACACAGTTTCCCCTCCGAATCATATCCACACAGTTTCCCCTCCGAATCATATCCACACATGTACAGTGCTCCATTCCACTACCCTTTGGCCAACATACACATATATACGGATTATTTACCGCGAAACCTAATTTAGAATCAATATTAACGTATATACATAATTACCATGTTTCAAAACCCACATCCGTACAAAATTGTATGTCCTGTTTGTTTGGCCATACAAGTTCAGTAGAGCGAGACCAAGTTCTGGCTGTTTATAAGAAAGAACATAGATTGCGCAAACCAAGAGAGGCGACATCGACAGCGGTTTTGTAGTCAGTCCATTCACCCGTTGTACGCGCATAGCAACGTTCGACCAGCGAAGTTGCAAGCGAATTTCTGTTTCTGAGCGTAGAATATCTTAGATATTGTATATACACAATGAACCGAATTATACATGTGTGTCTCGGTAACAACGCGCTGCATGCTTTACTGACACTTTTTACATTAGTCGTGATTACTTGAATACACTCCAGTTTGCAAGGGATCGATGTACGGTTCTGGGTAGGAAGTGACAACATGGAGTCGTGTGGTATATACAGATTTGCTTTATACAGGTAGATATATATACACACAAGGTCGGCACATGGTGGTAGTGGTTGTTGTGATGGTGACCCGGATCACATAGACTAACCCTAGCTGGGCTAAGGGTAAGACCTTATTGCTCGTCTCTGGACCCTGTCTCTGGTAATAACAGTGAGTGAATAAGGTTTTACTCCGCTTTATGCAATATTCCAACAATATCATGGCGGGGTACACCAGAAATGGGCGTCACACATTGTACCCATGTTGGGAATCGAACCCGGGTCTTCTGCGTGACGAGCGAACGCTTTAACGTGTAGTTACATACGTGTAGTTGCACACTTCGTTCAGGATGGCTGACAGTCATGTACAATACAATGGGGATTAACAATTGGGATCAGCATCTTATAAGTAATAGCAATTAAGTGATTCTAGACATATACATGTCATGGTCATAGGGTAATTAGCCTTTGGAATGTAATGTTCTTTCAGACAAAGGTTGTCCCGAATCGACAATGGCACTATTCATCAAGGCGAGAGGAACATGGGGTGGTGCCCTAACTTTCCCCCTCCTAAATGCCAGGTTACTTTCTTTTCACACATCCAGTTTCTTCCCACTTTGAACCGTATTCAAGTATGCGAGCTTTTCGGACGTTTCCAAGTTCGTGAAACCCACAAGCATGAGTATGGTGCTGACAAACCTTGAAACATAACAGGGATTTGAGCCCACAATCATAGCTTTATGGTGTGTCTAAGGGACGCAACTCTTCACAGCGAATTGCGGCGTCTTTTGCGTTGTTCGTCCATTTTTCTCCTTTACTGTTTAATTATAGGTGAGTGGGATTGACAATTGTTTCAAAGCACTGACGGTTATCGACCGAGTGACTTCATCGTATAGACGAGAAATATGTTTTGGGATCGTACTGGTTCCCCTCTAATAATGCTTGCTTATTATCCTATTTTTCTAGATCCTACTTTTCGTGTGTGCTCTAATGAGTTGTCTGCCCCTGTGTCATGGCTACGCGGCCGGTGCCCCAGCACAGGTGTGTGGCGACATGTTTCCTCATCATGGCCATGACTCCCAGACTACACCGGCGCCATACACCATAACTGTCGATACAATGAATTACCACAGGGGACAAGATGTCAGGGGTATGTACACGCCATTTCTGGGTTGTTTATTCAGACACCAATACCTAGCAATCTAAGAATTGCTGTTTTAGAATTTGTTCTGGAACCATGTTTTGATTCTGGGGCAGGTGATATTGTTTTAAACATCGCCTTTACTACTCATGCACCATGCCCACACACGTCCATTTACAGGACGCCGTGATGAAGCTGCAATGTAACTTAATCACTCAAACCTGTATAATGCACAAACCAATCCTATAGCGTTGCAAGAGACATACCAAGACCTACATCCAATATATTAGTGGGCATTAATGCAACGTGCATTTTATCTTATCTTATCTTATCTTTATGTTATCTTTCAGTCACACTCACCGCCAACTCGCCGACTGAGTTCTTCTTCGAGGGTTTTTTCCTCCAGGCTCGGCGAGCAGATTGCCAAATGTTCGGCCAGGCAGTCGGCACCTTCAAACTTACCAATTCCAACGACAGTGAAGTGGCGCTGAAGACCTGTCAAGCGTCAAACGTAAATACTGCTTCGTAAACAGTTATAGGAACACGTCGAGCACTGATAACACACAACATTACCGTAATATAATAATCTTGCTGGGAACTATTTAACTTTCGGAGTCTTATGATTATTCTGTATCTTTCAATATACATTTGATTGCATACACATTCGTTCTATATGAGGAATGCATTATTCGTATTTCTATGAGAGTTCTTCAAAACCTACCTACACTCTTCAAAGAAAGAAACGCACAGGTAGATTTTTAGTAAATTTATTATACCTAATAAAGTCGATATATTTAATATCATAGATACAAATATGAAATTTTTGAGCTCGATAGTCACGTGTTATCGTTGTACAAAGGAATTGAAAACTGTTCATTGTCATGTCACATAAGGCCACAAGGTTGCGCTGAACTCAGTATCTCGTGTGACCGCCCCGGGCAGCAATCATGGCTCTGCATCTCCTCGGCACTGACGGGATAAGTGTACGAATTCTGTCCTGCGTCATTCTGCGTCATTCTGCGTATGACGCGTTTGCCAGTGTCAGGGAGTGTCTGCGGCATGTTCTGACGTTCATCCAAGAGGTGTTCGATTTGGTTGAGATCTGGAGATCTCGACGGCCAGGGCAAAATATTGATGTTGGCATTATGTAGGTATTCTACCGTGACATGAGCTGTCTGCGGTGGAACGTTATCCTGTTGAAACAGCTCCCTCTGGCGGTCAATGGTTGGAAGAAGGTGAGGTTGAAAATTTGATTCATGTAGCGATTTGCAGCCAAATGTCCCTGAGCCACAACCAAGTCAGTTCTCGTTTTGTAGGATATGGCCCCCCACACCATGACAGTACTGCCACCGAATTTGTCGAATTCACGTACACAATGTGGGGCAAAAGGCTCATTTCTCGCCGGTGAAGAAGAAATCGTGTTTCATCGCTAAACCACACTCGTCTCCAGTTTCTCAAATTCCAAGGTTGTAAGGTATAGCACCAACATCGCTGTCGATGGATCTGTTGCAAAAACAGGGATGATAACTGGCCTTCTGGGTCGGATTCCAGCCTCGCGAAGATGGTTCCTGACAATCTGGTCCGATAATCTCCTCAAACCAGGGATGCGTCCTGCAGTCTCCGTAGCCATGGCATTGGCGTAGGTAGAACAGTCGTATGTAGCGATCCTGTTCAGGGGTGGTAACTCTTGGTCTTGAACTGTGTGTATCGGTCACAAAGGCGGCAAATGGTGCTGTGGTGGACGTTGAAGTGGCGTGCAACAGAAGACTGCGATTTCGCTCTTTGGATATGTCCTATGGCTATGTTCCGATCGGCGGCGCTGAGTCTAGGCATTTTCGAACTTCGAAAAATGAATGACAAATTATTGGCCTAAGCTTGCCTTTTTACAGCCACTACCACGAGTTACGAATGCCATAACTTGCACAAGTGTGAAAACAATGCCGTTTAAGACATTGCAAATCGACAATGACTGCATTTTGACGCACCGTTTGTCGAATATCAGGCCACAACATTTTCCAATAACATATATCCAATTTATATACCGGATTTTTTTTGAAGTCAGGTTCAATAAACTACATACTACATGTGCGTTTCTTTTTTTGAAGAGTGTATATTGTTTTTTCTGGTTCGTTCATGGTGGACATTGGTTCCAAAAGAGTATAAAACGTCAACGCCAGAGAATAACCAGTCTCGATTTTCTGCCGAAACAAATTCCATTTAGCACAGAAGGCAAAGTAGAGGGTGAACATTACCAGCTCCATGCCATCTGTCGGCCGTCTGATTCAGCATACATCAACGTGTGTTTTTCAGGACGCCGTGAGTCACACTACCTCCGCCCACAAGACATCCAAGACTTTCATATGGAACAACTCTGAGGGTCAGGACGTGTTTTTCCAGTAAGCACTGCACGTGTACATACCCACATGCTTTTATTGTATTGGAGGACCGTATTTAGGATATGTAAACTGCGGGATAAGTTGTGTAGTTTCAATAGTGTGTCTGACAGAATGGGTTAATCTGTGAAAAGTTTTGCAATGAAACATTTATCTGTATTGACCACATTTTTCGTTAATCGCCAATAGGTTTTTCTATTCATTTACAGGGCACTCAACATCGAGAGAAACATGTAAACATTGCCCATATAAAACTATGATCCACACTCACCTAATGTACTACCTGGTTGAAGATCCCGATTAGAATTGGTCTTCATCAACCCATGCTTGCCGTAAGAGGCGACTAACAGATCGGGTGGTCAGGCTGGCTCTCTTTGGTGATGCACAATCTCATTAAAATCAGACCTCAGTTCTCGCTACCGCTAAACAAAGATCTGAGGACATCCCATTAGGGGTCACGTCAGAACGACCTTTCATCCGACCAATCAGAGCGTCGCTTACCAGTTTATGAAGGTGACAGTCGGATGGTGATTTCTAATCATCCAACCTCGAAAACTTTAACACAGGGTATTCCGAACGATAGTTACGGGTTTAACGACTGAATCTATACAATCTAGACCATCTATTAGCCATTCCAGAATGTTCTTTTGTTCAGGTTTCAAATTTGTAATCGAGAATTTGTCAAAATATGTTTCGAAGCGTAGTCGCCAATTTGAAATTAGTGCCGTAAAGCACGAGAAAGCTGCCTTCTGATTGGTCATTTCATTGGTCGGTCAAAGTTCGCGCAAGTTCGTTCTGACGTGACCCGTAATGGGATGTCCTCAGATCTTTGTTTAGCGGTAGCGAGAACTAAGATCTGATTTTAATGAGATTGGGGTGATGCATGTCATCGTTTCCGTAGATCGATGCTCATTATATCAATCACTGGATTGTCTGCTCCAGACTAAATTATTTGCAGACCGCCGTCATATAGCTGGATTAAAAAGTAACAGAAAGCCTAATTTACCCAAGTCACCAAACGTCAAACGTCAAACGTCAGTATTGTACCTGCTTCACATGATAGGGACAATCACTACAGGTTTTAACCACTGACTCAAGACATTGATTATTAACGCCAGTTGTACAGCCTCACTCTGAGGCTCCAGATTCATATCATACGATGTATGTCCTTATTAATCTATCAGCTATAATTGATGCGACTTATCTGTTCAAGGGCGACGTTTGTCAACCACAAGCATACGTTCTGGTCCAACGTACAGAGTGAAGTTGTTCACGACATGTCTCTGGGAGTCCGCATTACCCATGCCCGTTGCGAGGGAAGGACCAAGCTGAACATGATGTTAACACACGTCACGGCATCGGGGGCCTCTGTATCTTGCAGTGTTCTGCTTGTCTCAGGGCTGGCTCTGTTCGCCAAAATCTAGCTCTCCTCCCAATATCTACCAGCTACAACACATATATTATTCTCTATCACTTTTTGTTTATATTAAAATACTTTCCAAAGCCACCCACATCAATATCGTTGTGACCAACACTGAATGAAATATTACGTAAATATATGACATGTATTGATACATGACTAGTTGCCTTGAATATTTACAAACGTTAGTAACAAAATGCACAATAATCTTTTATAGCCGAGGATGCTTTTATCAAATGTAAATCAACATTGATTTCAATGGTTTTATCTGTAAACATTGCCTTTGATATATTCACCAACGTTTTAATAGCCTTGGGTCAAAATTTTGTAAATTTTCATTCTCATGTTTCCAGTTACATTTAAAGTGCCTTATATGTTCAACTGTACATATTTGACAATGGGTGACCATACTTTGAAGAAATGTGTTTTTATATATTTGGAATAAAATGTTTGATTTACACAATTATGAGTTTTTATTTCCATTCTTTATTTTAACTACAGGATCCGGATAAAAAGGGCTGGAAGAAAATAATATTCTCTCAGGTTTGTCAACAAACGATCGCGAAACAGTTAGATGTAATATTAATTTACTTTGCTCCTTTCAAGTATATATATTTTCCCCCGCTTGCCTGGGTTTCACAGATTTCATGTCTACGGGTTTCATTTCTAACCCGCATTTTTTCAACTGTTTCTTCCCATTCTCACGTTCTCAGGGAACAAATGTTTGCATCTGGCGGTAACTGACCATGTCATTTTGAAACATCCGACTTCTCCGGACCGAAAGAAATACACAGCCAATCCATAAAGAATAGTACAATAGTATATATGAAAAAACAACTGAAATGAACGGGATATATTCAGATAAATATTTTGACATGTTGAGACAATCTTCACACAACCAATACATTTCATAAGCCACGAGACAGTGAACGCTTTCGCCTGTATGTTCTTTTGTTGAAATGTTTCTGTTTCATACCTGAAATGTTTAAGTTGTCAGTTCAAAATATACATTTTCATGACTCTGAAGGTATACAGGTTAGGCTGGAGTATAGTCACTAACAAAAGTGCTAAATTCTTACTTTGTCACTGGATGGTCAGGTCCAGACTCGATTATTTACAATCCGCCGTCATAGGGCTGGAATATTGCCGAGTGCGGCGTTAAACAAACAACAACAGCAACATGATTTTCCTGCTCTTCGTTGACATGCAATGAATCTTGCTTTTCGGCTGTAATCCACTCGCAGTGTATTTATCAAAGTTGAAACATTTTCCATGCGCATTGTGCAAATATTTAAACATAATTGTCTGTTCAATTCGAATTTGACAGTGCGCGAGTGAGTTGGGGTTAGCGTCGCAGGTGTTTCAGTAATACCTAGGTTTTGTTTACGGGAGAAAGTTCCAAACACAGGCAGGTCTTGTGCCGGTGACAAAACTGTGAGCACCTGTGGGTGCTGATACACCATGGAGCGCAATCTACGAGTGGGTCATCGTCGGATTCAGGCACGCTAAAGGTTCGAACCACTGCACAGCGGATTGCGGCTCAGATGACTGACAGTAGTGCTGGGTCACCCATGGGTATGAGTGTTCATAATGAAATCCCTAAAAGATACAAACACAAATCAATCTTGCGTTGTTTTCTAAATACCCCCATAACTATTTTTCTCGTAACACTGGTACACTCATTCACAAGTTCAACATACTGAAATATTACCGTACATGAACTCATTCTAAATGTTAATCGACATGAAACACCTACTCCGCGTGTCAGTTGGCAGCCCACGCCTGTAGAATTGATCATTCGATTGTCGACACCGCATGTCTCATCAACCGATACACAGTTAAATCAAACTATACGATTTGTTGTCTACTTTCTCTTACGTATATATACTGCAGGACGGAGTTTGATACAGAACAATATTCGCTCACAATACTGTAACACTGGTTAGGTATTAAACACATTTAAAAACATTGTTTGCGTTAAACTTTTTAAGGATTGTGTTAATCCTAAACGGATCAATGGGTCGCGTGTTCTTATCGGAACAGGCCTTGAATGAAAACACACGAAATAGGCGAAGATCTCATAACATAGCCAAATTCTCTGAATCAAAACACGCTGTAGTATGTATGCATTACATAGATAACTATATATGATATCTATATATGATGGACTGCTTATCAATCGGTCTGTCAGCTTCATGAGGCGACGAGTGAGTGACCTGGTTTTAGCGCGCCTTAGAAGTGTCATCATAACACAATCATATATACTTATATACTTCAGCAAAGAAAGTTTGAATCTAATACTGTCTTTAAGTGACCTCTCACTTAATCAATAATAATAATGAGAATGGTGATGATGAAGATGACATAGATGGTGCTGCTGCTGTTGCTGCTGATGATGATGAAGAAGAAGAACAAAAAGAAGATGATGATGATAATGTTGTTATTTTTGCTTTAGTAAAAGCAGAAGCTGGCATAGGTCATTGGCTGTCGAGAGGTACATATTTGAAAGGTTTTATCTCATTAAGACATTGTTGTATCAACCTTGGCGAAACTGCAAATCTAAAACGCGATGACATATTCTTAAATGTTGTTATATTTACACTTTCAACATGTTTACATTTTAAATACAATCCTGTATGTCTCCAGTTATCTGAATGCTTTGAAAATGATGGGGCAGGAAACATATGAATGTAAGTGCTTTTAGGATCTTCTTACAGCGTAGAATTGCGGTTATTTTGTACACACATTTCACACGAATTTTGTACATTTCACGAACTGTCTTATCAACATTATACTACACCTTGTTTATGAGGTATATTTTAAATGAATTACCAAGATCATTATGTCTTATTAGATGATTCAACAATACCGCATCTGGTCAAACTGCGCGTTGTTTCTTTTGATTACATTATTGTGGGTAGATTTTCAATGTCAACTTCCACCGGATGCTGGTTCTCAAACCGTGTGACCTTGTGACGTCGTCTGCATATACACACGACATGCTTCACAAAAGGTATACAGCTGACCAGTCTTACCATATCACAACACATGTGTCTGCATATAATAATTGGAAGTTTTATATTGTCTTGGAGAGGTTTTAACATAAACCTGTTTGCTTGTTTTTGATCCCATTTTCCTGTAAATTGTGGAAATGAAATATGCTTAAACACGCATGTTTGAGCGTCACAGGATGTCGCAATACGGGGGAGTGGTGAAAAAGCCGCGGAGCACCTGACACGGACAGTGTTGTTATTCATCATAGTGACTTGTGTACTTTGGCGTGTCTATTTTCACGATGGTGCAATATACTGCTATTCCATGACTTGTCAATATGTGCCCCTGACGTTAGGTTACATTACAATATGATACGAAGTGTGTTTGACGACGACAAAGTTGTTACTCGATCTATATAATCGTGTATTTAAGCTTGATATCCCCCCATTCTCTCGAGAGACTTATTCTTAAATCAGTTTATGATTCACTGTGCGAGAATACAGACTGCCAAAGCTAGCCGACATCTACTCTCAGCGAAATGTTTCAGGTACATGTTTTATGGTTATGTTAATGTAAGTGAAAAATATTCGTAATAGCTATAATATATATCGAACTCACGTCAGTGTTTCGGCTGATTACTTTATAAGGTATTCTACAAGCAACTGCGAGTCCAGTGCGACTAACCTACATTTGTTTTGTACGTGAATTTATAGACCCGTGAATGCTGACTTGGGTGATGCATGTCATCGTATCCCAATTGCGTGGATCGATGCTCATGATGTCAATCACTGGATTGTCTGGTCCAGACTCAATTATTTACAGACCGCCGTCTATAGCTGGAATATTGCTGAGTGCGGCTTTAAACAACAAGCAAACATGAATTTATGTAACTGACATGAATATTGATGTTGTTTGTATATGTAAGACAAATAAAATAATTGAAACCCTAACCATATAGGTGTGACATATGTCAACTCAGTGTTGTAATACTTAAAACAGTTTCTCAGCAATACGCCAGGGCTGTGCTACTCTTGCCTGGTAACCATTAAGTCTGGACTGGTTGAACAGCTTAAACCTCATGACATTGTTCTTCTAAGCACGGTTTGGCAATTTATCAGTAGAAACACTTGTTCCTCGAAGAGATGTCTCTTGTCAGTTTAACACCATGAAACCTCAATGCATTGTTTCGTTTATCTACACGTTTCTGTAATTTTGTCTTCGGAAGGATTTGTTTGCCGTTCTTAGATCAGTAAAGTGGTCACATTTTAAATGATGAATCTGTTTCAGATTGTTGCAGTTGTGTTGGCAATTTGTTCCCTGCATCTGACACAGGGATACAGCACCGGGCCCCCTCTGTCGGCGTGTGGAGACATGTTCCCTCACCACGGGGCTGATGCCCAGATGAGTGCCCCGCCCTATGTGATCACTGTTGACAACCCTAGCTATACACCCACCGACGACAACATTACCGGTGAGCGGTAGCCACTTTATCCCCTATCATATACACTTATCTTGCCTAGTTAAGTTGATAGGACATTTTATTACACGCCATCCAGAGATTTGGTGTCTTATTGGCTAGTACACAGCTGTATGTTTATTTTTAAAATTCGGCATACAAAATCACCGTTTAAGTTGATAAGAAATCAATCTAATTAAAATCAGATCTTTTTACACGCTACGCCAACGCAAAGATCTGAGGACATCCCATTAAGGGTCACCACAGAATGACCTTTCGCGAACATTCACCGACTAATGAAATGAGTAAGACGACGTCAACATTAACCAATCAATTAGCATAATTCTTGAGCTTCACGGCGCTAGTTTCAAAATGGCGGCTTCCATTCCAAACGACGCCTTGGGAAATATTTTGATAGAGCTCTCAATTCAAAATTTTAAAATTGAACAGAAGAAAATTCTGAAATGTCTAATAGATGGCCGAGGTTGTATGGCAGTACTTACCGCGTGCTATTGGAAAGTCTCTTCCGTTTCAAATGTTTATCCAATTCAAGCGAGATATAGACGGTGATTTTGAAGGAAAAAGCCGTACAGCGTTAACACTTTCAAGATAGGATGATTAGAGACCACTTCCAATCTCATTAAAATCAGGTCTGATTTTCGCTACCGCTAAACAAAGATCTGAGGACATCCAATTACGGATCACGTCAGCACGGCCTTTCGCGAATTGACCGACCAATGAAATGACCGACAAGAAATCGACATTAGCCAATCAGAAGGCAGCTTTCTCGAGCTTTACGACACTAGTTTCAAACTGGTGACTTCGCTTCGAAACATATTTTGACGTATTCTCGATTAAAAAAATTAAAACTGATAAGAAGAATATTCTGGAATGGCTTATTGATGGCATAGATTGTATGGATATGGTCATAAAACCCGTAACTGTCGTTCGGAATACTCCGTGTTAAATATTTCGTGGTTGCATGATTAGAAAACACTTTCATGATCTGGTAAGCGCTGGTTGGTTGGATGATAGGTCGTTCTGACGTGACCCTTAATGCGATGTCCTCATATCTTTGTTTAGCGACAGCGAGAACTAAGATCTGATTTTCATGAGATTGAGACCACTTCGTACTTGATGAAGGTCGGATGAATGGTCGTTCTAACGTAAGCTGTGACAGGATGTCCTCAGATCTTTGTGTAGCGGTAGCGAGCACTGAGATCTATTCTTAATGAGATTGACAAGAGATTTGTTTTGGGTTCTTTTTCGTTTTATGTATTTTTTGTTTGTTTTTTGTTGTGGCCTTAAAACTTATATATGTTTACGCTTATTTTAAACTGTCAAACATATACTTATGTCTAACGTATGATATTTACCATACAGAAATACGCGAATGAAATACTCCTTTTTTTCATATAACATCATTCTAAAATGATCGACGTTTTGTCACTCCAAGAAGTAACTTTAGAAACCGTTTAATGGTTTAATGAATACAATGTATGCGTGAATAGACCCGTTTATCATATAGCACCAAATTATTTACAACCAGGGCTGTCTACAGAATGACCCACGCATCGGGAATCTCCCACCTAAACTTGTTGCAAATGTTAGTCAATCAGTTACTGATCAAGCAGACACTGCATCGATGTACGGGGCCCTAAAGTAGTTCCTGCTCGGTGTCCTCATTTGCATATTTTTCGGGTCGTGACATAAAATTTATCGCCCTGGTTTTTCGCAAAGATAACACTAAACATTACATGATAAAATATTATAAAATATCATGGCCCTACTGCATTATTTCATATAAAAACTCGTGTGTACATGTAGTCCCGCGAAATCAAGATGGCTATTTATATAAAATGTAATGATTTCATATGACACCGTCTACAGTGTGGCTGATAATGATTGTTTCAGTTACCATATCAACAACGAACACGGATCATCCATACTTTCAAGGGTTTTTCCTCCAGGCACATAGCGCTGACTGCATGTCCTCAACTGTTGCCAGGGGGTTCTTTGTTGGCCCTTTGGACTCCAACACCCAGAGCATGACATGCAGCGGACCGCTCTCTAATGTACGTATTGCAAATCAACGAATGACTCGGGGAAGCAATGTAGATGCTTATGTTATTTCAAGGCGTAAGAACGTGTACATGATTGTTATTGTGGAATAAAGATACAGATGAAACCTGAAGCATGTCTGAATCCTCAGTGTTTTTCTCCTTTACATTAATCTACATTTAAACTGGATTTTCTGCAATAACCTGTAAAGATAAGACACAACCTGCTAATATAACTAAAAAGTGGCCTCTTTCTGTATTGCAGAGAGAGAGAAAGAGAGAGAGAGGGGGGGGGGGGGGGGGGGGGGGGTGCAAGACATAGATAACTGTTAGGTTCGGGCATAGAGTAAGTAAACCGGTAGGGTAATTTTTTGTGAATCAGCGCTGACATCATGAGTTCATAACAAAAGGGTTAAGCCGCCTTGCACCTGGTTCAGCCAGCTAGAGAGGTCACGGTGTTTTTGTATGTTTTAATCATGTGCTAAACATCGAAATTTCGCCAATAGTCTAATTGATGTTTATCAAAGAGAGTTTCTAGCAGTGCTTAATGGTTTAAGAACACAGACTTGCTAATACTTTAACTCCCGTTCTGCACATCAATGTCAAATCATTTTCTCTTATTTCCATAAAGTAACGTATATCTCCACAATCCGGATATCCAAGCATAATCAAAGCCTTGTTTTAACTAAAGCATTCTCACATGAGATGCAAAATTAACCCTACCATTATCATCTTTTGATAACAAACAAGTGGAAGTCCATTGGAATTCATGCGTATTAGCCTACACCAATACACTGAAATAATAAACACTTAGATGATAACAATGAAACTCACCAAGAACAGTATTAGAGGATGCTTTACTACTGATTAATCGATATCTCTTGAAAAAAATCTTTGGACTTTTTCTATACTTTCTCTGAATGAAGATCCCCAAATTTCATTCCCATAATGTGCAATCGGAGCTAGGGTTTCACAGGCCTTAGACCGTAGAAGACCAGATGAAAAGACAATGCCCAGGTATATCTGTGTCTTTATACTACCGTTTGTCCACTCGTTTTGACTTATCCATACTGACTTCCAGACACCAAGTATCGCAAAACGATTCCAATTTATCTTACATTCTTTGCAACTCAACCGGCTACAAAGACAAGGTCATCCACATACAGCAACAATTTGATGTCATCAGTAAACTCATTAACAGAAATACCCTTTGTTACACTATTATCTAAATCTGAAACAAATTGGTTTATAAAGAATATAAATAACTGGGAGCTTAACACACAACCCTATCGGACTCCACTGGAGGTCTGAAATGCGCCAGTTCTAACATTTTCCATACAAATACAAACATTGTTCATACATATTCTTTAATTTACTACGGCAGTGAAGAACCTATTGCACTGTGCAACGTGTTTTACGTCCTGAAAGCGTTTCTTTTCCGTTAGAGATTTTAACATGTTTAGAAGTTGGAACGACTCTTGCATGCTGCTGTAATCATCACAGCTAAATGAAAACATTGTTAAGAAATCGAGTATTCAAAAACATGTTTGGGCTGATATTTATTATTTAAATTTACTTGTATGGTTGAAATGGAAACACTTGAGGGGTTAAAGGGACTGTTCCTGATATTGCAGAACGCTGTTTCCCACACCAGCGCCAGTAGGAAGACATCAGTCACTGTTACCTGGAGGAACCCCAATGGAGGAGACGTCTACTTTCAGTAAGTGCTGCATATCATCTGAGTGACTTGTTTTAATATTTCAGTTAGATCACTGTCCGAAATTGTCTCGGCCATACACAGCAGAGGTAGATCATGCGATCAAGATCCACACCATCGGGTAGGATGACACACAATCTGCCAGGTCGCACATTGTAGTCTGCTTTCCTTTGGCAAACATAGGGTGCTGGAAACCTATTTTGGTCTAAATGTTCACATGGATCCTGAGATCCTGAGAACCAGTGTTTATAAAAAATAGTGTTTTTAGAGTATGTACAATTTGATGAGTTGTGTAATCTTCATCAACTAGTGTGCATAGTATCAGTGATATCTGTTCGAGTAAATCCTATGTGCATATACAAGCCTCAGGTGTGCGTGACTGTACCGTATATATGCGTGACATACTGCTGTGAGAAACGCCGACTCATTCTGTCACAGAAGTCCGACCACTGTGAGTCAAAAACTCGGGTATTAACACACACGAGGACAACATCTGATTAAGGATTGTCCTTAACAACATTTGTATAGGGAAAGGCAATTCAACCTATCTGCTCGTGTATCACATAACGGGTGGAATTAATAACCTGGATACCACCACGTGTGCGGGAAGTTGTGTATCTCGGGCTGTTCAATGTTCATGCAGTTCATGTCACACAGCTCCGAACGTTCTAACGTCCAATTCCGTGAGTACTCACAAAATGACTTTTTTACATTTGCAGGGCAACCATAGTGAAGAGTCGCGACATCTTCTGGGCCAATGTGCAGAGTAACACTGTTTATGATTCAAGTCAGAATAACACTAGAATGTACAGCTATTGTCCTGCCCGACAGGCCATATCTGTCTATCCATATGGTTCAACAGCGACAAACCACGGTCTGGAGAGGGCTGTGTTGTTTCTTGCTTTCACTGCTCAATTGCTGCGGCATTTCAATGCATAAGACAACACAAGGGCGGAGTGATATGTCAACGTTAACAGTGTCATACAACTAAATCGTCACCGATGCTAAACTGAAAGTAGATAAAATCTCAAGAGACATTTTATTGATTTCATTAAGGATTACTGATCAAAACAAAACTACCTGTTATGTTAATATTATCTTACATTACAAGTTGATATTGAATGAATTGCATACTGGCGAAGATGAAGCAACGATTGACTGAACCCCTTGACTGAACAATCCAACATTTATCCACTTCTATCAAACAGATGTTTGCATCGTCACCTATTAATAGAATCAATTTATCGAATGTTATATGCGATCAATAAAGTTAGCTATATATTTTTATATCTATTTTTATTGTCACCATGGACGTATTTGCTCCGTGGTTTGTAAACGCTGCAGGGAGTTGGCCATGCTATATTTGCATGTCCATAGGGCGTACGGAGTAACTGACAAGAGAGCCCTGTCGTTGATGATTAGGATGAGATTTATCATTGCTTCATGTATTAGGGATCCTCATTTAGATATAGCAAACACGGGTCTCACTGATGCAGCTAGCAATCAGGAGATAACTGTACAGTATAAGCAAAACGCTTTGAGGGTCTACGTCCTTGAGCGCACTTTTAAGCTTATGTTGTTTTTAATATCTTAGGGGGCACGGGTGGCCCAGTCGTCTAAGGCGCCGCGATTCGCTGTGCAGAGTTGCGTCCCTTGGACACGCCAGAAACCTATGATTGTTGGTTCGAATCCCGGTTCGCCCCGATTATGTTTCTAGGTTTGTCAGCACCATACCCGTGCTCGTGGGTTTCACCGAAGTGGTAAACGTCTGGGACCTGCATCACTTCGGGCTTTCCTCCCACATTAAGCTGACACGCCGCGATATAACTGGAATACTGTTAAACGCGGCGTTAAACACCACTCACTCACTCACAATATCTTATTTAAAAATAAGGTACGAGGGCTGGCTGAAAAGTTCTAAGCCTAAGTGGGATATCTCAATCGGATTGAAACAAACTTTTGCCACCAACAAGCACAATCATTTAATGAATCATAGACATAAGAACTGCAATTGTAGTGTTATTATTGTCTTTGTACCAGACCATCTTGTGAACCTACCAATTGAAATCACCAGAAATGGACAAAACTGGCTATAGGGCAGTCATCAACTCCAACACAGATACATGCTGACATGGTCTCCATTTTAGGGGATGACACCCCTTCCTTTTCCTCTGTAGTGGGCTACGGAATTCAAGCGTGGCAGAGAGAGCCTTGGCGATGACCCGCGTCCAGCAAGGCCTCCAACAGCAAATATTCCGGAAAACATTACCCGGGTGCATGACATGGTGATGGCTGATTGACGATTGACCACTCGACATATTGCCAGTGTTGTGGGCATCTCTCATGAGAGCACACCCGGAATCACCAGCCCCCCAAAAAGCCAAGTCGGTTCCTTCTGTTGGAAAGGTGATGGCTTCGGTCTTTTGGGATTCCAAGGGTATTCTGCTGATTGACTATCTTGAAAAAGGTCAGACTATCAATGGAAGATATCATGCTGACCTACTGAGACAGTTGCGTGAAGCTATCAAAGCTAAGCGACGGGGAATGCTCACTAAAGGAGTCCTGTTCTACCAAGACAATGCTCCTGTTCACAAATCGGTGGTGGCCATGTCAGCGATCCATGATTGTGGTTTTGAACTCACTGACCATCCCCCTTATTCACCCAATTTGGCCCCGTCAGACTTCCACCTGTTTCCCAAAATGAAAAAGGAACTAGCCAGTCGCCATTTTCATAGTAATGATGACGTCATTACTGTGAGTGACCATTTTAGGGTGGCGGAAGACAATTTCTTCTTGACCGGCACCCAGGCCTTGCAGCATCGCTGGCAAAAGTGTGTAAACCTGGAAGGGGACTATGTGGAGAATAAATGAAAACCATCGACTTGGTACGGGTCTTACACAGTTAGGCTTAGAACTTTTCAGCCAGTTCTCGTAAGTATATATCGCACAAAATTCATCTGTGCATACTCGGCTACAGCTACCCATGTTACTTTTGGAGACTAAACTAGAATATATTTAGAAATATAATCGTTATGTTTCCATATATTGAATCTTCAACTCCTACTGAATTGTGTTACGCTTTAAAAAAACCTTTTATTTCTTTACATTCTTTCATTTGTTGTCGTTTTTCAACTATTTCTTGAAATATTACTGTTCACAACCCGTTGCAGTTCACACACAAAATATGCGTAACATATCGAAGTCCCCCTACCCGTCCTCTCGACGTCCAGCTACCCGTCCTCTAGCCGACCCCTACCCGTCCTCTAGACGTCCAGCTACCCGTCCTCTCGACATCCCCTACCCGTCCTCTCGACGTCCCTCTACCCGTCCTCTCGACATCCCCTACCCGTCCTCTCGACGTCCCCCTACCCGTCCTCTCGACGTCCAGCTACCCGTCCTCTAGCCGACCCCTACTCGTCCTCTAGACGTCCAGCTACCCGTCCTCTCGACATCCCCTACCCGTCCTCTCGACGTCCCTCTACCCGTCCTCTCGACATCTCCTACCCGTCCTCTCGACATACCCTACCCGTCCTCTCGACGTCCCTCTACCCGTCCTCTCGACATCCCCTACCCTTCTTCTCGATGTCCCTCTCCCCGTCTTCTCGACATCCCCTACCCCTCCTCTCGACGTCCCTCTACCCGTCCTCTCGACATCCCCTACCCGTCCTCTCGACGTCCCTCTACCCGTCCTCTCGACATCCCCTACCCTTCTTCTCAATGTCCCTCTCCCCGTCTTCTCGACATCCCCTACCCGTCCTCTCGACGTCCCTCTACCCGTCCTCTCGACATCCCCTACCCTTCTTCTCGATGTACCTCTCCACGTCTTCTCTACATCCACCTACCCGTCCTCTCTTCATCCCTCTACCCCCCGTCCTCTCGACATCCCCTACCCGTCCTCTCGACATTCCTCTCCCCGTCCTCTCGACATCCCACCTCAACGTCACGCTACTTGTCTTCTCGACATCACGCCAGCTGTCTCCTCAAACCCACGATACCTGTCATCTCGACATCACGCCACCTCTCTCCTCAACTCCACGATACCTGTCTTCTCAATGTCACTCTCCATGTCCCCTCAACCCCACGCTACTTGTCTCCTCAACGTCACACTCCATGTCTCCTCAACGTCACACTCGATGTCTCCTCAATCCCACGCTACTTGTCTCCTCAACGTCACTCTCCATGTCCCCTCAACCCCACGCTACTTGTCTCCTCAACGCCACACTCCATGTATCCTCAACGCCACACTCCATGTCTCCTCAACGTCACACTCGATGTCTCCTCAATCCCACGCTACTTGTCTCCTCAACGTCACTCTCCATGTCCCCTCAACCCCACGCTAATTGTCTCTTCAACGTCACTCTCCATGTCCCCTCAACCCCACGCTACTTGTCCCCTCAACGTCACGCTACTTGTCTCCTCAACCCCACGCTACTTGTCTCCTCAACGTCACGCTACTTCTCTCCTCAACCCCACGCTACTTGTCTCCTCAACCCCACGCTACTTGTCTCCTCAACGTCACGCTACTTGTCTCCTCAACGTCACTCTCCATGTCTCCTCAACGCCACACTCCATGCATCCTCAACTCCACGATACCTGTCTCCTCAACCACAGGCTACTTGTCTCCTCAACGTCACTCTCCATGTCCCCTCAACCCCACGCTACTTGTCTCCTCAACGTCACTCTCCATGTCCCCTCAACCCCAAGCTACTTGTCTCCTCGACGTCACGCTACTTGTCTCCTCAACGTCACTCTCCATGTCTCCTCAACGCCACACTCCATGCATCCTCAACTCCACGATACCTGTCTCCTCAACCACAGGCTACTTATCTCCACAACGCCACACTACTTGTCTCCTCAACGTCACTCTCCATGTCTCCTCAACGTCACACTTGATGTCTCCTCAATCCCACGCTACTTGTCTCCTCAACGTCACACTCCATGTCCCCTCAACGTCGCACTCCATGTCTCCTCAACGTCACACTCCATGTCTCCTCAACCCAACGCTACTTGTCTCCTCAACGTCACACTCCATGTCTCCTCAACCCAACGCTACTTGTCTCCTCAACGTCACTCTCCATGTCTCCTCAATCCCACGCTACTTGTCTCCTCAACGTCACACTCCATGTCCCCTCAACGTCGCCCTCCATGTCTCCTCAACGTCACACTCCATGTCTCCTCAACCCAACGCTACTTGTCTCCTCAATGTCACGCTCCATGTCTCCTCAACCCCACGATACATGTCTTCTCGACGTCACACTCCCTGACTCCTCAACGTCACACTCCATGTCTCCTCAACCCCACGCTACTTGTCTCCTCAACGTCACACTCCATGTCCCCTCAACCCCACGACACCTGTCTTCTCGACGTCACAATCCCTGTCTCTTCAGCGTCACACTCCCTGTCTCTTCAGCGTCACACTCCATGTCCCCTCAACCCCACGCTACTTGTCTCCTCAACGTCACGCTACTTGTCTCCTCAACCCCACGCTACTTGTCTCCTCAACCCCACGCTTCTTGTCTCCTCAACGTCACGCTACTTGTCTCCTCAACGTCACTCTCCATGTCTCCTCAACGCCACACTCCATGCATCCTCAACTCCACGATACCTGTATCCTCAACCACAGGCTACTTGTCTCCTCAACGTCACTCTCCATGTCCCCTCAACCCCACGCTACTTGTCTCCTCAACGTCACTCTCCATGTCCCCTCAACCCCACGCTACTTGTCTCCTCAACGTCACTCTCCATGTCTCCTCAACGCCACACTCCATGCATCCTCAACTCCACGATACCTGTCTCCTCAACCACAGGCTACTTGTCTCCACAACGCCACACTCCATGTCTCCTCAATCCCACGCTACTTGTCTCCTCAACGTCACTCTCCATGCCCCCTCAACCCCACGCTACTTGTCTCCTCAACCCCACGCTACTTGTCTCCTCAACGTCACACTTGATGTCTCCTCAATCCCACGCTACTTGTCTCCTCAACGTCATACTCCATGTCCCCTCAACGTCGCACTCCATGTCTCCTCAGCGTCACACTCCATGTCTCCTCAACCCAACGCTACTTGTCTCCTCAACGTCACACTCCATGTCTCCTCAACCCAACGCTACTTGTCTCCTCAACGTCACTCTCCATGTCTCCTCAATCCCACGCTACTTGTCTCCTCAACGTCACACTCCATGTCCCCTCAACGTCGCCCTCCATGTCTCCTCAACGTCACGCTCCATGTCTCCTCAACCCAACGCTACTTTTCTCCTCAATGTCACACTCCATGTCTCCTCAACCCAACGCTACTTGTCTCCTCAACGTCACTCTCCATGTCTCCTCAACGCCACACTCCTTGCATCCTCAACTCCACGATACCTGTCTCCTCAACCACAGGCTACTTGTCTCCACAACGCCACACTACTTGTCTCCTCAACGTCACTCTCCATGTCTCCTCAACGTCACACTTGATGTCTCCTCAATCCCACGCTACTTGTCTCTTCAACGTCACACTCCATGTCCCCTCAACGTCGCACTCCATGTCTCCTCAACGTCACACTCCATGTCTCCTCAACCCAACGCTACTTGTCTCCTCAACGTCACACTCCATGTCCCCTCAACGTCGCCCTCCATGTCTCCTCAACGTCACACTCCATGTCTCCTCAACCCAACGCTACTTGTCTCCTCAACGTCACACTCCATGTCCCCTCAACCCCACGACACCTGTCTTCTCGACGTCACTCTCCCTGTCTCTTCAGCGTCACACTCCCTGTCTCTTCAGCGTCACACTCCATGTCTCCTCAACCCCACGCTACTTGTCTCCTCAACGTCACGCTACTTGTCTCCTCAACCCCACGCTACTTGTCTCCTCAACCCCACGCTTCTTGTCTCCTCAACGTCACGCTACTTGTCTCCTCAACGTCACTCTCCATGTCTCCTCAACGCCACACTCCATGCATCCTCAACTCCACGATACCTGTCTCCTCAACCACAGGCTACTTGTCTCCACAACGCCACACTACTTGTCTCCTCAACGTCACTCTCCATGTCTCCTCAACGTCACACTTGATGTCTCCTCAATCCCACGCTACTTGTCTCCTCAACGTCGCACTCCATGTCTCCTCAACGTCACACCCCATGTCTCCTCAACCCAACGCTACTTGTCTCCTCAACGTCACACTCCATGTCTCCTCAACCCAACGCTTCTTGTCTCCTCAACGTCACTCTCCATGTCTCCTCAATCCCACGCTACTTGTCTCCTCAACGTCACACTCCATGTCCCCTCAACGTCGCCCTCCATGTCTCCTCAACCCCACGCTTCTTGTCTCCTCAACGTCACGCTACTTGTCTCCTCAACCCCACGCTACTTGTCTCCTCAACCCCACGCTTCTTGTCTCCTCAACGTCACGCTACTTGTCTCCTCAACGTCACTCTCCATGTCTCCTCAACGCCACACTCCATGCATCCTCAACTCCACGATACCTGTCTCCTCAACCACAGGCTACTTGTCTCCTCAACGTCACTCTCCATGTCCCCTCAACCCCACGCTACTTGTCTCCTCAACGTCACTCTCCATGTCCCCTCAACCCCACGCTACTTGTCTCCTCAACGTCACTCTCCATGTCTCCTCAACGCCACACTCCATGCATCCTCAACTCCACGATACCTGTCTCCTCAACCACAGGCTACTTGTCTCCACAACGCCACACTCCATGTCTCCTCAATCCCACGCTACTTGTCTCCTCAACGTCACTCTCCATGCCCCCTCAACCCCACGCTACTTGTCTCCTCAACGTCACACTCCATGTCTCCTCAACCCAACGCTACTTGTCTCCTCAACGTCACTCTCCATGTCTCCTCAATCCCACGCTACTTGTCTCCTCAACGTCACACTCCATGTCCCCTCAACGTCGCCCTCCATGTCTCCTCAACGTCACTCTCCATGTCTCCTCAACCCAACGCTACTTGTCTCCTCAATGTCACACTCCATGTCTCCTCAACTCCACGATACATGTCTTCTCGACGTCACACTCCCTGACTCCTCAACGTCACACTCCATGTCTCCTCAACCCCACGCTACTTGTCTCCTCAACGTCACACTCCATGTCCCCTCAACCCCACGACACCTGTCTTCTCGACGTCACACTCCCTGTCTCTTCAGCGTCACACTCCCTGTCTCTTCAGCGTCACACTCCATGTCTCCTCAACCCCACGCTACTTGTCTCCTCAACGTCACGCTACTTGTCTCCTCAACCCCACGCTACTTGTCTCCTCAACCCCACGCTTCTTGTCTCCTCAACGTCACGCTACTTGTCTCCTCAACGTCACACTCCATGTCCCCTCAACCCCACGACACCTGTCTTCTCGACGTCACACTCCCTGTCTCTTCAGCGTCACACTCCATGTCTCCTCAACATCACACTCCCTGTCTCTTCAGCGTCACACTCCATGTCTCTTCAACATCACACTCCCTGTCTCCTCAGCGTCATACCACCTGTCTTCTCGACGTCACGATACCTGTCTTCTCGACGTCATGCTACCTGTCTTCTCGACGTCACGGTACCTGTCTTCTCGACGTCATGCTACCTGTCTTCTCGACGTCACGGTACCTGTCTTCTCGACGTCATGCTACCTGTCTTCTCGACGTCACGGTACCTGTCTTCTCGACATCACGATACTTGTCTCCTCAACGTCACGCACCTGTCTCGTCAGCGTCACACTCCCTGTCTCCTCAACGTCACTCCAACTGTCTTCTCGACGTCACGCTACTTGTTTTCTCTAAGTCACACTACCAGTAGGTACGGCGCCAGACATATGTACACTGTAGGACGAGACAACTATAAATTCGTGTCGCATATTATTGCTTGAATTGTAGAAGGTCGAAACACAAATTGGAACCAATCTGTAATAACTTTTTAATTTGTAGTTTACACGATATACGGCTTTTCCATTGGACGAGAGGTCGGTCACATGACCGCGAAATTGACGTTCATAAGTGTATGAACGACACAATTTGACGTTCATACGTTTTTCACGAGACCGTGTTCTTGGAATGACGTAAACACTGACGGACTACTTCCACATTCCTAGGAAAACACCTGGGAATTCCATAGCACGAAAACATACATAAGCGTTCTTTCTGATCATTTAGAACCTTTATTCTTGGTCTTAGTGTTTCAGTATACATTGAGAAATGTCACAGAGCGTGACTGCATGATTGTTCACGAATATCCTTGCTACGGCCTATCCTAATGAACAAACGAAGAAATGCATATCTAAACTATCGTAGTATCGACTCGGTCCGTGTCTAGGCTGACACTGACCGTCTCCAGCAATCTTTGAATTTACCTTAGTGTCTGTTCGGCCTATCTTTATTCACCTTTCAAAGATCGACCAGTTGATCAATGATGACTAACACATGTAACCGCCACAGGTTCATTAACAACTTCGGAAATCTCTCCCGTCACTTTTATCGTGTCGGCCATTTTTACGTCTTGTACTTGATGTAAATGTATTATGACGCGCTGTCTTTGTGACTGACCTACCGAGGTAGTTCTTTACAGACCTTTCTCATCTCATGAGGATATGATTTGAACACATGTTCTGCGTAAGATGTTTCTGAAGAGCAAGTTGTGCATCCATACGCTCATATCACCTCTCTTTTTGAGGAACTATTTTACTCCACGATATAGCTGGTTGTTGTATGGCTGTTGTCCTCAGGTTTACCCCCCCCCCCCCCCCCCCCCCGACCCGAAATACATTCTACGCTGGACATGCTAAACATAAAGTAAATGGTGGGTCACTTATTAAAAGTGGCGATCATTTCTTGTTGACAATTACTGACGATGCGGTTAAGGATAGATTTGATATTTTGTGCCACTTGTGAAACACATAAATCAGAGGTTGTGTTCCATTGGTGTAGATGGCTTTCTACGCACTATTCTGCATGGCCTGTGTGCTGCTTGTCACTGTGCAAGGCTACCCTACGGCAGCAGGACCTGCCTCTTGCCTGGATCTCACTCCTCAACACGGGGCTAGTGCCCAGGGCTCCTCGTCGCCTTACACTTTATGGGTAGATACAACCTCTATCAAACAAGGCGGGATGGTAACAGGTATGTGTGCTTAACTTTCGCCGACCTCTGGGTACGATGTAAACGTAGGCCATGTCTGCGACATCTACATAGGTAATAATAATAATAACAACAACAATAATAATAATGACAATGATGATGATGATGATGATGATGATGATAATAATAATTATAATAATTTCCATATCCAATAGAAATATCTGCCAAAAGCAGAGTCGAGAGTAAAATTCCGCTCACATCGAGAGCATATGTTTATGAATCCCTCTCAAAACGTGATGATACCAGGTGTTCGCGAAAAGGTGAGCCACCGGTGGCACCTGTCAAAAACACATGCAAAGGCAAGTCAACTGTTCACCTGAAAAAATAAGACATCCTAGTTATCGAATATTCTCGAAACAGGCTGACTAGCTATTTGAATAGAAATTAGCTTTTATCTCGGACGGCATAGATCGACACGACACGGTGGACCCACGATGTCACATAATATAATTCTGGATAAAAACACATCTGATGAGTGACACTTTGGTTTCTCCGCTATTTCAGATTACCTTCACTCTCAGTACTGCACCACGTCGGGTTATCCTCGCCATTTCCTTAACACGCCATGATTTAACTGAAAAACTGTTCAAAACGTCTATTATATTATATTTAACCTCGTATATGTCATGAATACACAATGCCATTGTGAGTGGGGTGAGTGGATTAGATCGCTGACTTTGTGTTTGTTTCAGTCACCCTGAATGCCACGGCCGCCGGCACCACCTTCAAAGGTTTCCTGGTCCAAGCCCGCTGTACCAAGTGTACCACCGCCGACACTGCCATAGTGCCCGGGACTTTTGCCAAGTATACCGCCTCGGATGCAAATATTATAACCATGGAATGTGAAAATGATGCCATGGTGGGTTTGCAGCGTTATATGTTCAACTATGTTATGTTTTGTTGGGCAATAACATTAAACTGGCCACAGGTTTATATACTAGTACTGACAATGATGGATTAATAACTTCTGTATCTGAATATCTTCTAATGGCGAACCTACCACCAGCAAGTTAATATCAAGATATTTGTCTGCATCTTCAGAACTCCATGACTCACACCAATAACGACGTGAAGACATCAGCAACATTCACTTGGACAGCACCTGCTGATTGGAATGTCGCAGAGGGCATTAAGTTCAGGTATGTTCAGATAGCGTTGTACAAGTGTAGTGCTCTGCTACATGTTAACTTGTTTACACAGGACATTCAGTTCAGGTATGTTCAGATAGCGTTGTACAAGTGTAGTGCTCTGCTACATGTTTACTTGTTTACACAGGACATTCAGTTCAGGTATGTTCAGATAGCGTTGTACAAGTGTAGTGCTCTGCTACATGTTTACTTGTTTACACAGGACATTCAGTTCAGGTATGTTGAGATAGCGTTGAACAAGTGTAGTGCTCTGCTACATGTATACCTGTTTACACAGGACATTCAGTTCAGGTATGTTCAGATAGCGTTGAACAAGTGTAGTGCTCTGCTACATGTTTACTTGTTTACACAGGACATTCAGTTCAGGTATGTTCAGATAGCGTTGTACAAGTGTAGTGCTCTGCTACATATTTACTTGTTTACACAGGACATTCAGTTCAGGTATGTTGAGATAGCGTTGTACAAGTGTAGTGCTCTGCTACATGTATACCTGTTTACACAGGACATTCAGTTCAGGTATGTTCAGATAGCGTTGTACAAGTGTAGTGCTCTGCTACATGTATACTTGTTTACACATGACATTCAGTTCAGATATGTTCAGATAGCGTTGTACAAGTGTAGTGCTCTGCTACATGTTTACCTGTTTACACAGGACATTCAGTTCAGGTATGTTCAGATAGCGCTGTACAAGTGTAGTGCTCTGCTACATGTTTACTTGTTTACACAGGACATTCAGTTCAGGTACGTCAGATAGCGTTGTACAAGTGTAGTGCTCTGCTACATGTTTACCTGTTTACACAGGACATTCAGTTCAGGTATGTTCAGATAGCGTTGTACAAGTGTAGTGCTCTGCTACATGTTTACTTGTTTACACAGGACATTCAGTTCAGGTATGTTGAGATAGCGTTGTACAAGTGTAGTGCTCTGCTACATGTTTACCTGTTTACACAGGACATTCAGTTCAGGTATGTTCAGATAGCGTTGTACAAGTGTAGTGCTCTGCTACATGTTTACCTGTTTACACAGGACATTCAGTTCAGGTATGTTCAGATAGCGCTGTACAAGTGTAGTGCTCTGCTACATGTTTACTTGTTTACACAGGACATTCAGTTCAGGTATGTTCAGATAGCGTTGTACAAGTGTAGTGCTCTGCTACATGTTAACTTGTTTACACAGGACATTCAATTCAGGTATGTTCAGATAGCGTTGTACAAGTGTAGTGCTCTGCTACATGTTTACTTGTTTACACAGGACATTCAGCTCAGGTATGTTCAGATAGCGCTGTACAAGTGTAGTGCTCTGCTACATGTTTACTTGTTTACACAGGACATTCAGTTCAGGTATGTTCAGATAGCGCTGTACAAGTGTAGTGCTCTGCTACATGTTTACTTGTTTACACAGGACATTCAGTTCAGGTATGTTGAGATAGCGCTGTACAAGTGTAGTGCTCTGCTACATGTTTACTTGTTTACACAGGACATTCAGTTCAGGTATGTTCAGATAGCGCTGTACAAGTGTAGTGCTCTGCTACATGTTTACTTGTTTACACAGGACATTCAGTTCAGGTATGTTCAGATAGCGCTGTACAAGTGTAGTGCTCTGCTACATATTTACTTGTTTACACAGGACATTCAGTTCAGGTATGTTCAGATAGCGCTGTACAAGTGTAGTGCTCTGCTACATGTTTACTTGTTTACACAGGACATTCAGTTCAGGTATGTTCAGATAGCGCTGTACAAGTGTAGTGCTCTGCTACATATTTACTTGTTTACACAGGACATTCAGTTCAGGTATGTTCAGATAGCGCTGTACAAGTGTAGTGCTCTGCTACATGTTTACTTATTTACACAGGACATTCAGTTCAGGTATGTTCAGATAGCGCTGTACAAGTGTAGTGCTCTGCTACATGTTTACTTGTTTACACAGGACATTCAGTTCAGGTATGTTCAGATAGCGTTGTACAAGTGTAGTGCTCTGCTACATGTTTACTTGTTTACACAGGACATTCAGTTCAGGTATGTTCAGATAGCGCTGTACAAGTGTAGTGCTCTGCTACATGTTTACTTGTTTACACAGGACATTCAGTTCAGGTATGTTCAGATAGCGCTGTACAAGTGTAGTGCTCTGCTACATGTTTACTTGTTTACACAGGACATTCAGTTCAGGTATGTTCAGATAGCGTTGTACAAGTGTAGTGCTCTGCTACATGTTTACTTGTTTACACAGGACATTCAGTTCAGGTATGTTCAGATAGCGCTGTACAAGTGTAGTGCTCTGCTACATGTTTACTTGTTTACACAGGACATTCAGTTCAGGTATGTTCAGATAGCGCTGTACAAGTGTAGTGCTCTGCTACATATTTACCTGTTTACACAGGACATTCAGTTCAGGTATGTTCAGATAGCGCTGTACAAGTGTAGTGCTCTGCTACATGTTTACTTGTTTACACAGGACATTCAGTTCAGGTATGTTCAGATAGCGTTGTACAAGTGTAGTGCTCTGCTACATGTTTACTTGTTTACACAGGACATTCAGTTCAGGTATGTTGAGATAGCGCTGTACAAGTGTAGTGCTCTGCTACATGTTTACTTGTTTACACAGGACATTCAGTTCAGGTATGTTCAGATAGCGTTGTACAAGTGCTACCGGTATACGACGTCACATAAGCAGGTCCTCAGTGATCGAGTGTAAAGATTTAACTGAATATATGTTTTCAATTATCCTGATTTTGTTGCAAATTGAATGCTGCAATGCACTTACATACCAACGAACCACAATTTATTATATACGCAGGGTTGCTATTAATATGTAGAGTTACTACCTTCATCTTAGAAAACAACCAACATTATCAAATGGCACCGTTCTTGCGTATATATGAAGACTTTTGATACATTAAAAGCAGTGATTGGTTCGCGCAAAGTAATCATACGCGACTAACAGTTATTTATGGCTCAACTCACATTCACACTTTACCGAAGGCGATGCGCGACCTGTCGTAAAAAAAGAATTAATCTATATTTCCTGTGATACGCTTCACATTTAAGTATCGGCGTCGGGTTATCTGAAACATGTCGTCAGAGCACATCGATACAGGACTATACAAGTTACACAGTTATAGATGAACCAGCGGATATGATGGAGACTGCTCTCAGTCATGTTTCAGCATCTGTTCTGTTACTTCCACTTGGTTATTGTTGTGTCCGCACTGTGATCTGTGTACGCCCACAATCGTATAGTAAAATGTTTGGATTTCACACAGAAACATAGATTCATGTTCCATCTACTCTTGCGCATGTTTTATTGAATCTAATATGTCTTTAAGAAACGTCTACATGTATTTTGTTATTTCCATCAAACGTTGTCACAGTTATGACAGACTGACGTATTTGTTACACACGCGATGGTACTCTCTTGCCTACAGGAGTCCATCTTCGTCCACATGTCCACATACATATACAAAACCCGTGAAGATCCGGGTTACAATAGGTCTTCAGCAACCCATGCCTGTCGTAAGAGGTGACTAACAGGATCGGATGGTCAGGCTCGCTGACTTAGTTGATGATATCAATCACTGGATTGTCTGGAATTGATTTACTTGAATATTGCTGTGTGCGGCGTTAAACTAACAAACATATAAACAAACAAACAAAACATAATACAGAGGGACTGTATCTGGAATAGCTAACTACACATATTTAAGTACATCGTACAAGTATACTGTTGCATGACTATACCACCTCTTGTCGATGTATGATGTTTCAGGGATGAATATACCACCTCTTGTCTATGTGTGATGTTTCAGGAATGAATATACCACCTCTTGTCGATGTGTGATGTTTCAGGGATGAATATACCACCTCTTGTCTGTGTGATGTTTCAGGGATGAATATACCACCTCTTGTCTATGTGTGATGTTTCAGGGATAAATATACCACCTCTTGTCTATGTGTGATGTTTCAGGAATGAATATACCACCTCTTGTCTATGTGTGATGTTTCAGGAATGAATATACCACCTCTTGTCGATGTGTGATGTTTCAGGGCTACAGTAGTCCAGGTGAAGGTGACCTGGTGGACAGATGTCATGTCTGACGAGATAAGTGTCACTGCCAGCTCCACCTCTCCAGTTTCTCCAGTGACGGCCCTCGTCGTGGCTGCTTTCATCGCCGTCTCTTCTTTGTTTCCGTAGTTAGAATTGATACTGACCGTAATCAGTTCAGTATTGGTTGTTATTCTAATGGTCACATGCTCGGATTGTATTTCCAATTTGATATTTAAAACTCGCAAGATGTAAACCGAAACCTCTAAACCCATTTCAAATGTAGCGGTTAGATAGCTGATCGGTGTGGATGTAAGTGTACATGTTTTCTTTTGGTTGTATTTGTGTTGTAAGAGAATTCATATCCATATATGCTATATATAGTTATCCAACGTGTGTCATCAATCAACAGTGTATGCTATTTTTGAGAAGATAAAAACACTTCAGTAATGTTTATTTGCAATTCTGTAAATATGTATTTCTCTCATGCACGTCGCTATATAAGTGCAATAATCTTGGACGCGACGTTAAACCCCATTTCACCTCACCTCACCACTGCACTTCATCAGTCTTACGAGGGCTCAAGTTGGATGAAGCGTCTGGAAAATAATCCATGACACGGATATTATGTTCGTGAGTCAGCCCATAGTTTGTGAAATGTGATGTATAAACTCGTGCATTATCCTGTTGCAAAATGTAAGGATTTCCACTGGCCCAAATGTTTGAGTCGATGGAACCGTCTTGCATTGTGCTGTTGATCCAACTCTTGCATTGGTTTCAATCAATGCGTCAATCAAGATTGTCGTCCCGTCCCAAACACCCACACATGGAGACAAATTTTGAACCCTTTTGCTCATATTCCAGAAATACACACTTGAAAATTGAATTTCACCTCATCCGTAAAGATTCACTTTGCAAAGTCTTTATCTCTATCACGGTGGTCCCTCACAATCTCACATTGACACTCTGTTGCTTCCCGACAAACATACATATCCTCTCAGTTGTTTCATATAACCTTGAATACACACATGGCCTTTCAGGGGGTTACCTACAAGTGGCCACAAACACATATGGCCTATCAGGGGGCTACCTACAAGTGGCCAACAAACACACATGGCCTATCAGGGAGTTCCCTACAAGTGGCCACAAACACATATGGCCTATCAGAGGGTTCCCTTCAAGTGGCTACAAACACACATGGCCTATCAGGGGGTTAACTACAAGTGGCCACAAACACACATGGCCTATCAGAGGGCTACCTGCAAGTGGCCACAAACACACGTGGTCTGTCAGAGGGTTCCCTACAAGTGGCCACAAACACACGTGGTCTGTCAGAGGCACAGTTACACTGAAACCTAGAACACCTGGTGTAACTGCTCAAATACATTCAAGTGAAATAGAACTGCAGAACTTCGTTTATGGACTGAGAGTGAGTGAGTAAGTTAGTGAGTGAGTGAGTATCGTTGTATGCCGCTTTTAACAATATTCCAGCAATATCACGGCGGGGGACACCAGAAATGAGCTTCACACATTGTACCAATGTCGGGAATCGAACCCGGGTCTACGTCGTGACGAGCTAACGCTTCAACCACTAGGTTACCCGACCGCCCTGTACTGAGAGTGTGCTATCTATGGGATAATCTGTTTAAGGCTTTAAAACTTATACTCAAACAAAACTAAGATATTATCTCACTGTCTACTTTATTTCCTAATTTTGAAGTAATTAAGAAATAAACGTCATGATAGAACAATGTGATATCATGAAATAAACCAAGCTTCGTTCCTCCTTGTTCTTTGTGATTTATCGCGTAGCTTTTTTATATTTAACAATCCATTGTCATGATTACAAGTCGTATGATATATTAGCTTAATCTTAAGTCTGTTTATTGCGACAGATTTTACAAATGAATACATCTACGACCAAGACGTTGTTTCCTCGGTACAAGATGCCCAAGTCGAAGGAAAACATTGTCACACGGTTGCCCGAGACCCCGATACAAATACACTTACCTCCAAATTTTATTTGCAATAAAAAATTGGCAACTGAGTGCCTAAGAAGGGGAAATCGCCATCTGCACACTAGATGTGTTTTTCTTTGATCAAGTGTTGTGAAGTATGCGGTAGTGTGCCGATGTGTTCGTTGGGTTGGGTTGGGTAGTGAGGGTAGTGAACGTGTATGTTAGTGATGCGGTAGTGGTGTGCGTTCTGTGTGGTTTAATCATTTAGTTATACGTGACCGCGTTTCAAACATCAGAAATGGCTTCAGGCTCTCGACATGAAAGTAAGTCATCGTTGTTCGGTCGACCGAAAAAGAATGCATGATCGCTTGTGTTCAACAGTTTTGAAATTCCAACGCTGGGAGCTTTTATGACTGTATTGTATCTGTAAACGGATGCGTAACCTGTTGTGTACAGGGTAAGGAGATGACGTCACTGTCAGTACTGAGTCCCTCGCACTGGAGACGCTGTTAGTGGATCTGTACAAAACTAAGGTCAGTGGAAGAATACCTCATGATTCATATCACAATAACCAAACTTCACGCTTTGCTGCATTACTGTTGTGTAACCTACAGTTTTGGAGTCAGTACTTACTCTACGTAAAGTAATGGTATCACACGCTGTCGATCTCGAGAAACCGATGAGTCACTCTTGAGTAGAAAGTCAAACTGGAGTCAACAGCTTATATGGTACTGGCTGACGATATGTTGTGGTAAAAGTGATACCGAAGTCATTTATCCAACCTCCAGATATTTTAGAGAAGATGTAATACCAGTATTTGTTCTGTGAAACCAGAAGGAGAGCTCGCGGTTATTCGTCCGTGACAATACCATGAGTGAAGAAAAGCGCAGCCACAAGAAGGCGAAATGCTATGTCATCAACAGAATCATCTTTCTTCACAGGCCACAGACCAAGGGTCATCCTTAATAAAATCATTATCACAACGAGCACATGGCGGGTATTTCTAATAATTGACCCTCAGGTTTTATAATAATTATACATTTATTACCTGACAAATTCCGAATTTACGTAACCACACCCCTGCCAGGTCACCTCGAACGCGACAACACATGTAGGTCAAAATGACGTATTGTCGCAATGTGGAGATTTGTTTCAGTCAGTTTTTGTTTCTGTTTTGTGCGTCCATACTTTCACGACTTTTATGTTTGTTTCTTTTGTTGTTGAACGCCGCACTCACCAATACTCTAGCTATGTTACAGCGAGTTCGTTATTCGTTATTCGTTTTTTGAATAACGAAAAACAAGCCAGCACCGGGTTCGTTATTCAGACTTGGTATACATAACAAATATAAGATACCTTGTTTCCAGTGGGTTCGTTATTCGTTATTCGTATTTCAAATAACGAAAAACAAGCCAGTACCGGGTTCGTTATTCAAAGGCTGTATATTAAACAACTACAGTAATGTGGTCAAATACACTGAGACTCATTTAATATACGACAGCAGGTTCGTTTTACATCGTCCAAAAGCTGTTTAGTTGTTCAGTACTTTTGAATAACGAAAAACAAACTAGCACCGAGTTCGTTATTTAGTTTATGTCCAACAATTCTATTAAATAGAAGATAGTCTATAGTCTATATCTCAACAACTGTTAAGCTATTCAGTACTTTTGAGTAAGGAAAACTAACCAGCACCGGGTTCGTTATTTAGTTTATGTCTAAGAAAATTTATAAACTTTACTGAGAAAGTGTTATCCCAAATATAACATTTGTTACATTTGAACACTTTCTAAATGGCATTGTGTGTTCATTGGCTTCGACCATGGGAGCCGTTGGACATCAACTGAAAACTAACATGCTGCAGTTTAGTTTTTCGTTATTCAAAAGTACTGAAGAACTAAACAGCTTTTGGACGATGTAAGACGAATCTGCTGTCATATATCTAATGAGTATCAGTGTATTTGACCACATTACTGTAGTTGTTTAATATACAGCCTTTGAATAACGAACCCGGTACTGGCTTGTTTTCGTTATTCGAATAACGAATAACGAATAACGAACCCGCTGCTAACTTCAGGCCCATTACAGAGACATTGTATAAACTTGGGGTGATCATAAAGTGTCATGGATGCATATCCTGTTATCAACAGACGAGTGTTTTAATGACAAAGTGAAACACGCATGGGCTGACGATTTGCCCGTGGCTAGTCTCACTTTAAATCAGATGCATCAAATAAGTAACAAGAAAACATCTAGTAGTCACTTTTTAATAAGCATTAGATTGTACTGGATACCTTAAAATCTAGCTGCTTTACAGTTTTAGATGTGTTTGAATATTTAGTAATGTTTCAAAAGAGCTTACAGCAAGTGTTTGTAACCAGGGAGTAGTATGTGTTCAGATTTAGTGAGTGAGTGAGTGAGTGAGTGAGTGAGTGAGTGAGTGAGTGAGTGAGTGAGAATTTATCGCTTAACACCGCATCAGCAATCTTGCAGCTATTTCGCGGCGACCATTGTCTTGGTGAACAATTCTGGAAAATAAACCTCTTGGAGTTATACCTTGCTGTTTTGTAAAGGTTGGTGAGGTTAAAGCATTTGGGATGTCAATAAAACCAATCACACGAAACATCCCCGATTTGCGTATTGATTAATTTTTTCTTCACAAATTTAGATGGCCGTGCATGTATTCCTCTTCATCGTCTGTGTGTTGCCGGTGATGGTTCTGGGTCACCAAGATGGAGCTGGTGCCCAAGCTTGCCTGGATCTCAAGCCTCGTCACGACACAACCACCGCAAACACATCACCACATCCTTACAACCTCACAGTGGATACCACATCCATCAAACAAGGCGGGATGGTTACAGGTGGGTAGAAAAGAATGAGAGAGAGAGAGGGGGGAGAGAGAGAGAGAGAGAGAGAGAGAGAGAGAGAGAGAGAGAGAGAGAGAGAGAGAGCAATCATACAATTATAATGTAAAAAAAAAAGTAACCTACAGGCTAATTGCAGGTGACATTACCTATTTATTCAGTTACTCTGAACACAACTGCCGCCAACGCCACCTTCAAAGGTTTCCTGGTCCAAGCCCGCTGTACCAAGTGTACCACCGCCGACACTGCCATAGTGCCAGGGACATTTGCCAAGTATAACGCCGCGGATGATACTAAAACCATGGACTGTGCAAATGTTGCCAAGGTTTGTCTGTAGCTGGAACTCATTCTTTATGTACTGAATCCTAGCATCTATATCACAGGGCTCATTTAAGAGGACCTATAGATTGTAAAATGATGATGATGATGATGCTGATGATAGCCATAGCGTTTTTGACAGTATCCACTGATAAGTCATCCGTATTGCAGTTAAACACAACTATTTCACGCATTTTGGTGTATTCTATTTTCAGAATTCGATGACTCATACCAGTAGTAGTGTGAAGACATCTGTCATGTTCACCTGGAAAGCACCCTCGGATTATGATGTTTCCCAAGGCGTTCAGTTCCGGTATGTGATTTCTGTGCCACCCACTCAGATGTGTGCATATACATAGCAGAAACTCACTTGATGTGATAGTCATGATATTCCGTAGGACACTTGATGTGATAGTCATGATATTCCGTAGGACACTTGATGTGATAGTCATGATATTCCGTAGGACACTTGATGTGATAGTCATGATATTCCGTAGGATACTTGATGTGATAGTCATGATATTCCGTAGGATACTTGATGTGATAGTCATGATATTCCGTAGGATACTTGATGTGATAGTCATGATATTCCGTAGGACACTTGATGTGATAGTCATGATATTCCGTAGGACACTTGATGTGATAGTCATGATATTCCGTAGGATACTTGATGTGATAGTCATGATATTCCGTAGGATACTTGATGTGATAGTCATGATATTCCGTAGGACACTTGATGTGATAGTCATGATATTCCGTAGGACACTTGATGTGATAGTCATGATATTCAGTAGGACACTTGATGTGATAGTCATGATATTCCGTAGGACACTTGATGTGATAGTCATGATATTCCGTAGGACACTTGATGTGATAGTCATGATATTCCGTAGGACACTTGATGTGATAGTCATGATATTCCGTAGAACACTTGATGTGATAGTCATGATATTCCTTAGGACACTTGATGTGATAGTCATGATATTCCGTAGGACACTTGATGTGATAGTCATGATATTCCGTAGGATACTTGATGTGATAGTCATGATATTCCGAAGGACACTTGATGTGATAGTCATGATATTCCGTAGGATACTTGATGTGATAGTCATGATATTCCGTAGGATACTTGATGTGATAGTCATGATATTCCGAAGGACACTTGATGTGATAGTCATGATATTCATTGGGACAGGTTACTCTGTAGAACACTTATGTGGCTTGTAAGACACGATATTCGGTAGGACACTTGTAATATTTTGATTGACACTTTCTATACTATTCCGTGTTACACATGGTATGATATTCTGTAGTACACATGGTATGATATTCTGTAGGACACTTGTTATGTTACTGTGTAGGACACTTGTTATGATAATGTGTAGGACACTTGTTTTGATATTCTGTAGGACACTTGTTTTGATATTCTGTAGGACACTTGTTATGATATTCTATAGGACACTTGTTATGATATTCTGTAGGACACATTGTATTATATTCTGTAGGACACATGGTATGATATTCAGTAGGACACATTGAATGATATTCTGCAGGAAACATGGTATGATATTCTGTAGAAATCATGGTATGATATTCTGTAGGACACATTGTATGATATTCTGTAGGACACTTGGTGTGGTATTCTGTAGAAATCATGGTATGATATTCTGTAGGACACATTGTATGATATTCTGTAGGACACTTGGTATGATATTCTGTAGAACACATGGTATGATATTCTGTAGGACACATGGTATGATATTCTGTAGGACACATGCTATCATATTCTGCAGGACACATTGTATGATAATCTGTAGGACACATTGTATGCTATTCTGTAGGACAAATGGTATGATATTCTGTAGGAAACATGGTATGATATTCTGTAGGACACATGGTATGATATTCTGTAGGACACTTGTTATGATATTCTGTAGGACACATTGTATTATATTCTGTAGGACACATGGTATGATATTCTGTAGGACACATTGAATGATATTCTGCAGGAAACATGGTATGATATTCTGTAGAAATCATGGTATGCTATTCTGTAGGACACATTGTATGCTATTCTGTAGGACAAATGGTATGATATTCTGTAGGAAACATGGTATGATATTCTGTAGGACACATGGTATGATATTCTGTAGGACACATGGTATGATATTCTGTAGGACACTTGTAATGATATTCTGTAGGACACATTGTATTATATTCTGTAGGACACATGGTATGATATTCAGTAGGACACATTGAATGATATTCTGCAGGAAACATGGTATGATATTCTGTAGAAATCATGGTATGATATTCTGTAGGACACATTGTATGATATTCTGTAGGACACTTGGTATGATATTCTGTAGAAATCATGGTATGATATTCTGTAGGACACATTGTATGATATTCTGTAGGACACTTGGTATGATATTCTGTAGAACACATGGTATGATATTCTGTAGGACACATTGTATGATATTCTGTAGGACACATGCTATGATATTCTGCAGGACACATTGTATGATAATCTGTAGGACACATTGTATGCTATTCTGTAGGACAAATGGTATGATATTCTGTAGGAAACATGGTATGATATTCTGTAGGACACATCGTATGATATTCTGTAGGACACATGGTATGATATTCTGTAGGACACTTGTTATGATATTCTGTAGGACACATTGTATTATATTCTGTAGGACACATGGTATGATATTCAGTAGGACACATTGAATGATATTCTGCAGGAAACATGGTATGATTTTCTGTAGAAATCATGGTAAGATATTCTGTAGGACACATTGTATGATATTCTGTAGGACACTTGGTATGATATTCTGTAGAAATCATGGTATGATATTCTGTAGGACACATTGTATGATATTCTGTAGGACACATCGTATGATATTCTGTAGGACACATGGTATGATATTCTGTAGGACACTTGTTATGATATTCTGTAGGACACATTGTATTATATTCTGTAGGACACATGGTATGATATTCAGTAGGACACATTGAATGATATTCTGCAGGAAACATGGTATGATTTTCTGTAGAAATCATGGTAAGATATTCTGTAGGACACATTGTATGATATTCTGTAGGACACTTGGTATGATATTCTGTAGAAATCATGGTATGATATTCTGTAGGACACATTGTATGATATTCTGTAGGACACTTGGTATGGTATTCTGTAGGACACATGGTATGATATTCTGCAGGAAACATGGTATGATATTCTTTAGGACACATGGTATGATAATCTGTAGGACACATGATATTATATTATGTAGGACACTTGTTATGATATTCTGCAGGACACATTGTATGATATTCTGTAGGACACATGGTATGATATTCTTTAGGACACATTGTATGATAATCTGTAGGAAACTTGGACACTTGGTATGATATTCTGTAGGACACATTGTATGATATTCTGTAGGACACATGGTATGATATTCAGTAGGACACATGGTATGATATTCTTTAGGACACATGGTATGATAATCTGTAGGAAACTTGGACACTTGGTATGATATTCTGTGGGACACATGGTATGATATTCTGTATTCCCAAACCCGCTGATCACATTCCGTCTTTTGTAATGGCAACAAAGGCAACAGCATGGGAAATAGTTCCTTCTCAGGGATGTGAAAGGTCCAGTGAGTTCCCTTTTCCTTGGTGACGCAGTACAGGCTGACCGCTAGACCTGTTTTACATGACCTGTATATTCCAGGGCTACTATTGTCCAAGTGAAAGCGACCTGGTGGACTAACGTGCTGTCCCAAGAGATCACCGTCACCACCGCTGCACCCAACTCTACCCCTCAAGCTGCTCCATTGCTGGCTCTCATTATCAGTGTCGTCGTCTCTTCAATGCTCGCATAATTCCAACTGATTATGCTGCTTTAAAAGCTTACGACCTACACTATGCACTACGCTAGTTTAAAGCAAGAAGGATAATGAAATGTTAAGGGCAGATACCCGTTCTCTTTTAATCTTAACATTTTTTTTCTAATTCACTCCCTAAAACACTTTGGCTTGTAAAATGACATTCAGTTTCTTTTGGGAAAACAAAAATTTACACATAAACACCAAACATACAAAATGAAATTATAGCAATTATTTCGCATTAGTATATAGACTGGGAATTTCGTTGAGCTGTGTAATGCTGCTTTGTACATTGTTTTTAGTTATATCTAGACGTGCCAGTTTAATGTTTGAGGAAAATATATCTTTCTTATTAAAAAAAAAGGCATGGATTTACTTAGTTTTCAACGTGAGAAACCTACACCTGAATATTGAATTGTTTGTTTTGGGCCAGATTACAGATAAAATTGTCAGTGTCTTACAATTCTTTTGCAACGTGTTTATTTTTTTATATACATCACATTTTTTAATCAAAGTGAAATGAAACTGATTGTGTAGCAATATCAATAAAAGTATATATACAAATATTGCGTTTGTGTCAGTCATGCTGGCGCTACGATCGAGCCTGGAAATTCCACCCTAGTTCGGCAAGGGTGGAAACTGGACTTTTATACTCAGTTAACGCCCTTTCCACGAGAAGGTTATGTCTTCCAAACAAGGTGAACATGTTTTACAGACATAGTGTTTTATGAATGTATACATTTTACAATTTCATGTTATAGTATATGATAAAAAGGTTATTATTTGGCAGTTTGCAAACCATACCCCGTATCAACCCATATCGAGCTGATATTGTAGTCTCGGGATGATATGGGACATGGTATGAAAACTGCCATATGATAACCTCTAATCATAATATGTGTTTGCAGAGGATGTCTTAGTTCAATAAGACACACTAAAACTACCTGAAAGGCATTTACAAATAGGATGCACCGGTGGCCCAGTCCCCTAAGGTGCTGCAATTGGCTGTAGTGCCAGAACCAAGTGATGATAGGTCCGAATCCCGGTTCGCCCTGATTATATTTGTTGGTTTGTCAGCACAATACCCAGGTTCTTGGGTTTCACCACACTGGCCTATGACCTACATCGATCCCGGATTTCTTCCCTTTAAAGCTGACACATCGTCATATAAGTGAAATACCGCCCTAATTGTACGATGTCACCCTGACTCTGAAGTTGCACGTATAAAAGATATTCATTCTTGCGGAGTTGAACCTGTTTCTCCAGTTTTCATGTGGTTCGTTTATTATGATTTTTTTCTGGAATTCTAAAGCGCGCATGTATGAACGCTATCATCTTCATCGAGCTTTGCTTTAGAGTATCGAGTGTTTGTTTTCAGACACTGTCTTTCATAGCAATGCAGATATCTTCTGTGAGTAAGTGAGGGTGGTTTTATCACGGAGGCGGACACCAGAAATGGGCTTCACACATTGTACAATATAGGGAATCGAAGCCGTACTTACGGCGTAACGAGTGAACGCTTTAACGGCTAGGCTAACCCACCATCCCAGATATACTGAACACATGTTGGTCACTGACACGATATACTGTTTACCTACTTCAGATTAGTATTATCATTAAGAGTGAAATCTCTTTAACACAGTTCAAAACTATATATCGACTTATGACTTATCGGAGACACAGTTTTTTTTTTGTGTACTTAAAAACGAATTGGGGGTTGGGTGGGGTTCTGGTGGGGAATTATTTCCGAATCACATGTGATAACACATGTCTTAGAAGATATAGGAATAGCTTCTCAGCATTGTACACAATAATGAACCCACTGCTAAAACATCTTTCCACTTCAGTACACCTTGGAAATTATTCAGGTTTGCTAGATCATAATTCAAATCACCCCTCACACAACCAGACCACTTCCTTTAAACACATTCCTCACACAACCAGACGACTCTCTGTACACACATTCCCCACACAACCATTTCACTCTCTCTACACACATTCCTCACACAACCAGACCACTTTCTGTACACACATCCCTCACACAACCAGACCACTTTCTGTACACACATTCCTCACACAACCAGACCACTTTCGTACACACATCCCTCACACAACCAGACCACTTTCTGTACACACATCCCTCACACCAGTCCACTTTCTGTACACACATCCCTCACACAACCAGACCACTTTCTGTACATACATCCCTCACACCAGTCCACTTTCTGTACACACACCCCTCACATAAACCAGACCACTTTCTTTACACACATCCCTCACACAAGCAGACAACTTTCTGTACACTCATCCCTCACACAACCAGACCACTTTCTGTACACACATCCCTCACACAACCTTACCACTTTCTGTACATACATCCCTCAAACCAGACCACTTTCTGTACACACATCCCTCACACAACCAGACCACTTTCTGTACACACATCCCACACACCAGTCCACTTTCGTACACACATCCCTCACACAACCAGACCACTTTCTGTACATACATCCCTCACACCAGTCCACTGTCTGTACACACATCCCTCACACAACCAGACCACTTTCTGTACACACATCCCTCACACCAGTCCACTTTCTGTACACACATCCCTCACACAACCAGACCACTTTCTGTACACACATCCCTCACACCAGACCACTTTCTGTACACACATCCCTCACACAACCAGACCACTTTCTGTACACACATCCCTCACACCAGTCCACTCTCTGTACACACATCCCTCACACAACCAGACCACTTTCTGTACACACATCCCTCACACCAGACCACTTTCTGTACATACATCCCTCACACAACCAGACCACTTTCTGTACACACATCCCTCACACCAGTCCACTCTCTGTACACACATCCCTCACACAACCAGACCACTTTCTGTACATACATCCCTCACACCAGTCCACTTTCTGTACACACATCCCTCACACAACCAGTCCACTTTCTGTACACACATCCCTCACACAACCAGACCACTTTCTGTACACACATCCCTCACACAAACAGACCACTTTCTGTACACACATTCCTCACACAACCAGACCACTTTCTGTACACACATCCCTCACACAACCAGACCACTTTCTGTACACACATCCCTCACACCAGTCCACTTTCTGTACACACATCCCTCACACAACCAGACCACTTTCTGTACATACATCCCTCACACCAGTCCACTGTCTGTACACACATCCCTCACAATACCAGACCACTTTCTGTACACACATCCCTCACACAACCAGACCACTTTCTGTACACACATTCCTCACACAACCAGACCACTTTCTGTACACACATCCCTCACACAACCAGACCACTTTCTGTACACACATCCCTCACACCAGTCCACTTTCTGTACACACATCCCTCACACAACCAGACCACTTTCTGTACATACATCCCTCACACCAGTCCACTTTCTGTACACACATCCCTCACAATACCAGACCACTTTCTGTACACACATCCCTCACACAACCAGACCACTTTCTGTACACACATTCCTCACACAACCAGACCACTTTCTGTACACACATCCCTCACACAACCTTACCACTTTCTCTACACACATCCCTCACACTAGTCCACTTTCTGTACACACATCCCTCACACAACCAGACCACTTTCTGTACATACATCCCTCACACCAGTCCACTTTCTGTACACACACCCCTCACACAACCAGTCCACTTTCTGTACACACATCCCTCACACAACCAGACCACTTTCTGTACATACATCCCTCAAACTAGTCCACTTTCTGTACACACATCCCTCACACAACCATACTACTTTCTGTACACACACCCCTCACACAACCAGACCACTTTCTGTACACACATCCCTCACAAAACCAGACCACTTTCTGTACATACATCCCTCACACAACCAGTCCACTTTCTGTACACACATCCCTCACACAACCAGACCACTTTCTGTACATACATCCCTCACACCAGTCCACTGTCTGTACACACATCTCTCACACAACCAGACCACTTTCTGTACACACATCCCTCACACAACCAGACCACTTTCTGTACACACATTCCTCACACAACCAGACCACTTTCTGTACACACATCCCTCACACAACCAGACCACTTTCTGTACACACATCCCTCACACAACCAGACCACTTTCTGTACACACATCCCTCACACAACCAGACCACTTTCTGTACACACATTCCTCACACAACCAGACCACTTTCTGTACACAAATCCCTCACACAACCAGACCACTTTCTGTACACACATCCCTCACACCAGTCCACTTTCTGTACACACATCCCTCACACCAGTCCACTTTCTGTACACACACCCCTCACACAACCAGACCACTTTCTTTGCACACATCCCTCACACAACCTTACCACTTTCTGTACACACATCCCTCACACAACCAGACCACTTTCTGTACACACATCCCTCACACAACCAGACCACTTTCTGTACATACATCCCTCACACCAGTCCACTTTCTGTACACACATCCCTCACACAACCAGACCACTTTCTGTACATACATCCCTCACACAACCAAACCACTTTCTGTACACACATTCCTCACACAACCAGACCACTTTCTGTACACACATCCCTCACACAACCAGACCACTTTCTGTACACACATCCCTAACACCAGTCCACTTCCGTACACACATCCCTCACACAACCAGACCACTTTCTGTACACACATCCCTCACACCAGTCCACTTTCTGTACACACATCCCTCACACAACCAGACCACTCTCTGTACACAAATTCCTCACACACCATTTCAATCTGTACCCACATTCCCCACACACCATTTCACTCTGTACACACATTCCCCACACACCATTTCACTCTGTACACACATTCCCCACACACCATTTCACTCTGTACACACATTCCCCACACACCATTTCACTCTGTACACACATTCCTCACACACCATTTCACTCTGTACCCACATTCCTCACACACAATTTCACTCTGTACCCACATTCCCCACACACCATTTCACTCTGTATCATCACACAATGTCACTCTGCAATGTATAGGAAGTTACTGTGAAGATATATACACCAATTACTTGAAAGAAGATATCGGATTTATGTCGGCTGTTGTTATGATTTGGCAAACACAACCTGATATCCTTCGCTCTGCACAGGACCGCCTCCGTGGTCTAGTGGTAGAGCGTCCGCCCGGAGGTCCGGGGTTCGATACTTGACCGCGTCATACCAAAAGACGTTAAAAGATGGTACTTGTTGGCTCGGAGTCAGTATACTGTGTCTGAGTGGGGTATTCATGTTCAACTGCGGCATGGTATCTCAGTGAGCTAGCACTATAAATTGGCATCAGTCCGGACTAGCAAAAGCAGCCACACAAACACACACACGTACATGCACGTCGCTATATAAGTGCAATAATCCTGGACGCGACGTTAAACCCCATTTCACCTCACCTCACCTCGCTCTGCACAGAAGCTCGTGGTGGGAGCCCGGGGTTGAAAGTCCTATAGTAGACAATGACTGACTGACCTACAGCCA